ACAACAAACTTGCACATGGTTTGATTCTGTTATGGGTATTTGGTTTGATTCTATTAAAGGCTGGGTCTTTTGGATTCATTCTGTTATAGGTATTTAAATATTTGTGGCAATGACATTATACTTTTGTCCACCACATTCGTAGAATGTGGCGTATTTAAATTGTGGTTTGTGCAGTTGATTTTGTGGCCTTAATTCTTTAATAATGGCCATTGTCTTCACTAAATTTTCCGATTTGTTTGCACTAACACCTACCAGTTTCCAAATTTGTAGCAATAGAATAAACACCCATTGATTTGAGGCTATTAAAGGTTGAGTGTTTTGGCTTAATTCTCTCATACCTATTTAATTATAAATTATCACAATTGTTCTAAGTTTGTTATCAATTGTTATCTGGAGGCTTTGACTTTATAGGAGTGGCGAGCGTTGGTCTTCTTCTTAAGATTGAACTCCAGCTTTTTCTATGTTTCGGTCTCTCTCTCTCACTGATCTGTAAGTAAATTTTGCTTCATCTTTCCATTCAATTTTTGTTGCTCTTCTTTTTCATTTTTTTTTTGTTACTAATATCTTGGATCTTATTTTATTAAACTATAAGACCTGTTTTAATTTGCTGCCCTAAAAGTCCAAATTCCTAATTTTTCCTCATAGTGGATCTGTGTTATTGATTTGCAAATGTTATCCAAATACTGAAATTGATTTGATTGTGTTATTATTTTGATGAAACCAGGTGAAACAATTTAGTTATTAAAATACTATATGATTGCTTTTGGTAAGGTTTTCTGTTTGATTATTAAAAATTAGTTGGTAAACCCTCAAAATCGGTATTTGGATATGCTGGTTCTTTTGTTACAGGGTTTAGGATAGCTCTGTTTTGGTAAGCAGGATATGCTGCTATTTGGGTAGTTATGTTTAAAGACATGTTCGTTCTTTTACTACAGGGTTTTAATTCAAATTCGTTCTTATACTGGTTTATGGGACTGGGGATTTGAATTTGATAATTTTTGTTTTGGTAGGGGAAAGAAAATTTGGGAGTGTGATTCTAGGAACTGATTGCAATGTTTTAGCATAGTTGACTTGAAGAAGATTGGTTTAGGAAATATGTGGGATTTGAAAATCTGACTTCTAAATTGGAATTCTGTTTGTGGACATTAGAGATGACGAGAAAGAATTCAGAAAAGTTAAAATTCATAGGTTTTTTTGTTTGTGGGTTTGATTTACCAAGCGGATTTTTGTTGATTTTTGCATTGAATGGAGACTTATTGAAAACTAAAAAAGTTTGTATATCCTAATTTCAGAATGCAGAGTTTGGTTATATTGTTTTTTTTCCTTTTCATGGGCTAATAATTTGGCCATGCTTCTACTCTTTGCAGCTGCTAGGGACTGGAATGGATACGCAAGATACATCTCCTTCAGTGTTGCTATTCTTTGACAAGCAAAGATTTATATTTAATGTTGGAGAGGTAAGGAACTCAATTACATACATTTTCCCTGTGGTTTCTTTCCATACAGATTTTGCTCAAGCTAATTTTTTGGTTTAATGAAAAGATTGTGCATGCATAAAATACTCAAGCTAATTTCTTCCCCGATTTTTCTGTTTTTTCTTTTTCTTCTTTTTAAAAAAATCATGTTTTCTTTTGATATTTTGCAGGTGGTCTTTCTTTGCTTTGGATAGAGCAGTTTGGTTGGTGTTTTCAGTTCTGTTAAGCAAGGGGTGAGTTTCTAGGCTGAAATTTCAATTAATTGTTTTAAGTTTTGTGAATAGAGCATAGGAATTAGCTAATGGCATCAATTGACAATTGGTTGGTGTTAATTTGTTGTTGTAATGATAGGTTTAGATGATTACAATATTTGAACATGTTGGTAAATCCTTTGAGTGTTTTGGCAATTGGGTAGTTGAGATGTTCCCTGCCTATTTTCATCGCTTTATACACATTTCACGCAATTTTAAAACCCGCAGCATCGCGCGGGCACCTTTTGCTAGTATGAAAGCTGAAAGACTACCGGCTGTCCTATATCCCATTTTGCTGTAACTTTTCTCGACTAAGGTGGATTGAAACTGTGGCATTGTGGAATTTCGAGATTGTTGACGTGTATATGCCACTTAGATCATTTGGTAGGTCAAGTGGAAAACATGAATTGCAAGCTTGACTGATTTTGTAAAAGCAGCTGAATTTTTCATTCAACCTCGGACATGAAGATGGTGAGGAACTCACCTTTGATTATGTGAACATGTCTTCGATGAATACCAATTCTTTCGTCCAGCTAAGGGAATATCTTGAGAACCATCTTGTACGTAGCTTTGTAATACCACTTACTCCATCTCTTCCACAACCCAAGTGACCCAACGGAAACTCCAAAGCCAACTGCAAATCCAATTTTAACACTGATAAAATCCCAATTAATCCTATGATTTCCAGAATTGGGAAGGCTTTCCAACCACCAGATTTTAACCCAGAAAATCTCAGTGCATTACTCCAAGTTAAACTAGAATTTTTAGACATTGACCAACCAAAATACCGAACTCTAATTACACTTTACAATAGCGTCAATTATGAAAAATTTGTCGCATGAGATGCTGATATACCGTATACGTCGGATTGAGACTATGAACATTGTGGAAATTGTGAGCTTGCTTTACGGATTGACTAGTTGGCTTGTTGACTTTGAAGTCCATCTGTCGAGTGGGCCCGGCTACTGTCTACATGTTGCTTTCCTATTTAAATTTTTCGGTGAGTGTTTTCTCAAAAAATAAAATAAAATAAAAATTCGGTGAGTATTGGCCAAGATCAATAGTCATGGCTCATGGCCCAAACTAGGATAACAACCCTAATTCTAGGGCGTATATTAGAATAGTTTAAAATATCTCCTCGTTTAATTTTATTTTGCTTTGTAAAAAAAAAACCTAAGATCACAAAATTCCCAAACCATCCTTAAAAAGAACTCCACGAGCCCTTCTGCAGCACAGAGGAAAAGAGAGAATTGAGTACGCTTCCGTAGTAGTATAGGATGGAGGCATATGAAGGTCATGACAACCTTTTAACCATGGCAAAAATTAAGCAAGCAAACGATATATAGTAATATGTTTTGCACTCACATTGCATAATACAAGATCAATGATTATTAAGATAAAATATGACAGCAGAAGCACATTGCTTATTTCGTGTATCTTGAAATAAAGAAAAAGATGGCCAGGGACATCTCCAAGCCTTCAGGCATACATGGATTGGAGTCCAGCTGCATTGCTCCTCAACGTCTCCACCTTCGATTTATGTGAACATGTCTTCGATGAATTCCAATTCTTTCCTCCAGCTGTGGGAATACCTTAAGAACCATCCTGTACATAGCTCTGTAATACCACTTACTCCATCTCTTGCACAACACAAGTGACCCAACGGAAACTCCAAAGCCAACTGTAAATCCAATTTCAACACTAATAAGATCCCAATTAATCCCACGATGGCCAGAATTTGGAAGGCTTCCATTTAATGCTGGTGGTGGTGACAATCTTGCTTTGTTATCCACTGTCAAAGGAGGTCCCCATAGTCCTTTGTTTCCTGTAAATGAGTCTTTTGGAAATGTTGAAAACTGAGTACTGGTTGGGATCCTGCCGACCAGTTGATTATACGAGATATTCAAGAACGAAAGGAAAGTAAGCTTTGCCAACTGTGGTGGAATGTGCCCGCCCAACTTGTTCTGTGACAGGTCCAAGGACTCGAGTACCCGCATGTTACCAAATGAGGATGGGATTTCGCCTGTCAAAGAATTTCCGGACAAGTTAAGGACATGTAGTGATTTGAATTCTCCCATTTCCTTAGGTATTGGTCCACTGAAGTTGTTGCAGGAGAAGTCAATCAAGGTGAAGATAGATAGAATCCTTACTAGATCCATCTCTAAACCTTTGCTGGTAACTGTTATACGATCCTTAAAAGAATAATCAATCGACATTGGTGCTCCCGCAATAAGTGTAACCATCTGAAATTTGACAATCGACAGGGGACCATCCTCGGGAGCCATCATTACCTGCCATGTTGTCAAAAATATTCCCGGTATTTCACCAGTGAAATTGTTGTGAGCTAGGTGTATGATTTGAAGCACTGGCCAGGTGCCATAGGTGTTGGGACATCCAATTCCTCCATAGAAGTTGTTGGACCGCAACACAAGGACACGCAAGGTGGACATGTTTTTTAACAAGCATGGAAAGGTATCTGTTATATGATTGTTTCCCAGGTTTAAAACCTGTAACTGTGTGCAGTTACCTAGAGATTTCGGAAACTGACCACCTAACTGATTTCCACCGAGCTCTAGAATTTCTAATAAACTATGTTCAGTAACTTGAAAATTAGAAATAGTTCCAGTGAGGTTGTTTCTTGCTAAATTAAGTACTCTCAGATTGCGCATTGCAGTCAAGCATGGGGGAATAATGCCACTCAGAAAATTATTGGACAGATCAAGACTCATAAGAAAACTTTCCGCATTGCATATTGATGCCGGATTGACCCCATGCAAGTGATTGTTTGAAAGAGAGAAGAACGCTGTGGGAGTCAAACCAATGTCAGATGGTATAGAATTGAAATGGTTGCTTGAGTAATCCAGATAGTAACCAAATGGTATGAAAGTTGGGATTTGACCCTGGAGTTGGTTTGAATGAAGGTCAACTATTGACACACCAGAATCATATAAAGGAGCTTCTAGAGTTACCAAAGAGTTGCAAGAAAGATTTAGGTAATCAAGATGATTGAAACTCCAAATCCAATGGGGTATCTTGCCTTGAATCTGGTTTTCTGAAAGGTCCAAAAATTGCAAGTGTGTTAGGTTTGCTATTGACTTTGGGATTGATCCATAGAAACTGCAAGATGATAAATTTAGATACCTCAAGTTCACAAGCTTTCCAATTGCAGATGGAATGCGAGTACCATAGGTAAAATGGTTATCAGCCAAATTGAGGCTTTGAAGGTGTTGAAGATCGAAAAGACTGCTCGAATCGTCAATGCCATCGTTGATAGCTTCGCTGCTAAGGTCAAGACCAACGACATGCCCATCACTACTGCAATTAACACCAAGCCAAGAACAACAATCGGTGCTTGAATTCCAAGATATAACCTTGGTTGGGTATGAATCGGAATCAGGATCATGAGAAAATTGAAGGCTTTTCTTCAAATGGAGCAATGATAGTTGCTGGTCTTTAGTGCAGAGGCTGTGAACGGCAGGGATGATGGTAAAACAGATTTTAGGGATTAAGAATAGGAGCAAGAAATATTGGAGCAAATGTTTCATTTTGGATGAACTTTTTAGTTCTAGAGACGCTAGCTAGCTGATCGGGGAAAGTGATGAACAACTGATGAGAAATAAAGGTTGTGGTGGATGTATATACGTATATATGGCTTGACTTTGAAGTCTACTCCCGTCTGTAACCAGGAAAAAGTAAGCATGGAAATTAGATGCATGATAAGTCATACTCCATAATGCATGTTCGTATTTTTCTTCGTCAAGTGTCCCATCCCACTTACATGCTCTGGGGTATCCATAAATGCATGTTCGTATTTTTCTTTGTTAAGTGTTGTTGTGTTGCAAAGGTGATTAGACCAATTCGTCATGGCAATAAATCTATCTCTTTGCATTCAAGTTTAAATATCTCTTTTCAGGAATTAGATTACTTTAGAGAATCATTACTATTGATTGCCGCTTGCTAAAATTATGTTTTTTTTTTTTCATTCTTATGTTTTTGTGATTGAGTCGGTGCCTACAAGAAATTGACTTTAAAAGGCTTGATTGAATCTTATTGTTTACAGAGACTAATTTTATTCAACCATCTCAAGTGATTCATATTGTTCTTATTATAAGTAATTAAAACGTTTATTATGTTTATCTATAGTGAAAAGAAAATTAAACTTAATATATGGTGTTATTTCAGGTTTAACATAATTTTAACTAATTTTTTTGTATTAAGCCTTGCTTCTCGCCAAGCAATGACCGGGTTTTACAGAATAAGTTACATTTTTGCAATATCAATCTGCAGTTTGCTTACTTCCCAAATACTACCCATAAATTCTCAGTGAATTACTCCAATTTAAACCCAATAAAACTAGAATTTTTAAACATTGACCAACCAAAAAAGTACTAAACTCTATCTAATTACATTTTTACAATAGCCTGGGTTATAAGTAATTGTAGCACAAGTGCATAATTTGTCGCATGAGATACTTTGATATGTCATTGAACAGAAAGACTCGTCTGAATTGTGAGATTGCTTTATGGATGACTAGTTGAGTTGTGACTTTCAAGTCTTGCCCTATTTTTGTCTAGTTGGATTTTTCGTTGGCTCTTTACTTCACTAAGGTCAGTCAATACGTCCAAGGGCGAAATCATAAATTTTTCAATGGGTGGGCTACCTAAAGTTGTTACCTTAAACTCTAAAATGATCCTTTTTTTTTTTTTTTTGTACTTACCGTTTCTATAATCTTTTTATAAATAAAAGTATACATTAAATCATATAAATCATACTAGTTCATAGCTTAATTGACTAATTTTCAATAAACTTTAGCATAAAACAAATACATATTAAATGCGACGAAAAAATACTTCAACAACATAGTTAAAAATGTACCTATTCAAATTGTATCATGCAATCCTTAAGATAATTGAAATTTTTGTTATTGCAATGTGTATTTTTATTAGGGGGCTATATTAATAAAGAATTGAGCTTTTTTGAATTTTAATAGAATAATAAATAGTGGGCTATACTTAAAACAACTCATTTATAGAGGCTTGATTTTTTTTTACAAATTTATAAATAAACCCAATCCTAGACATGTATTTATAAAAAAACCCAAACACTATTTAAACATAGAAACACACCCAAAATCAACCCCAAAGTCAACAATTGTATATTTTTGGGGTGTGTTTATAAATGGATTTTGAGCGTGTGTAATGATGAATTTTGGGTGTTTTAGTAAAACTCCTTTTTTTCCCCCCCAAAAACTTCACTGTGCTACAGCCCACCTAAGCCATTGGAGTAGTTCCGCCCAAGGTCTTAAATATCGATATTTCGGAAATATCGGTGGTTCAAAAACACGGAAATATCGATGGAAATATCGATATTGATAAAAATTAGATAAAAACCACGGAAATTGTGATAAATACATGAAATTTTTTAATGAAACTTTAGAAGAAGTTTATTTAGTCAATCATCTATTATTTTGACACAAAAAATTGGAAGGAAATGCATTGCATAGTGGGTTTGAGTGATTTAAGTTGATTATATTGCGAGCTGACAAACTCTGTGATTTAGAAAATATGGAGTAATTAATGAAGAGAATTAAACACCCCATAGTAATTTATTTATCATTTTTTAGTACAATATTTTACACTTTATAAATTGCATGGTAAGATACATGTGTAACATTATTTCACATTATTCATTGGACATGGTACACGTTCTTATATTTATTATTTATCAAAAATTGAAAAATAATTAAACCAACTTGACTTTTCATGAAAATTAGGCACTTTACCATACTTAAAAAATAATAGTGAAGATTGAAAATTAACTAAGAACATAAATAAATTTATCAAAGGAAGAATTAAGTAGTAAACAAAGAAAATAATTATAGAGATTTAAGTAATTAAGCAACAATTTGAAGGGGAATTTAGTAATGTAAGTACTTATAATGAATAATAAAATAATCAATAACATTAAATGGATTAAATAGAAAAGAAATAAATTATATTAAGTAATTAAGTAACTGATCAACAATATAAGTAATTATGTTAATTTATATTTTGAGAAACAACTTGCATGCATATTTTATAGCTTATTATCACAAAGTGAATGCCAGCGTGGTGGTTAAAGTGGCTATAGGTTTCGGAATTGAGAGGGGTTCAAATCCCCCTGTGTGCACTAGCATGAGTGGGTTTTAGCAAATTAATTTTTGAAAGTTCATATCGCAATATTATTGATAATATCGCAATATATTGACCATTTGCATTGCCAATTGAACGAAAATATCGTAGCCGAAATATCGGCGAACTTATCGATAAATTGACGATATATATATGGAAAGGTGCCAAAATATCGCTGCCCCAAAAAAATGATATTTTGGCCCAAAAATAAAATAAAATAGAAAGGTCCATTACCGACCAACTTTTTCCGAGGGCTCCCAAATTCCCTCGGCAAAAGTGTTTTTTCCGACGAAAAAATGTTGTCCATTGGAAATATGTCACGGGGCTGGAATTTATTTCCGACAAAGGAACAGTCCTCGAAAACAGTCTCTATGATCGTTGGAAATGTAATTTATTTGGTGGGAAAACTTGGCACCAACTTTATTAACAACAAAAAATTTGTTTATCAAATAAGATGATTATTTCCAAGGAGCTTCTCATGCACTCAAAATTGTTTGACTATTTCTGAGGAGAAATATTTCCTCTCGGTAATGCCGTTATATTTACGACCAAACTCATCCTTATCGGTAATAGTTGTACTTGTTTCGGAGGGCATATTCACAATTGTCGAAAATCACAACCGAGTTCCGCGGGCAACAGATGGTCGCTGGTAATAATTTTTCTATTTACAAGGGGAATTAGCAGTCATTGGAAATGCCTATCTTAAAATATTCATAACAAATTAAATTAAAAAAAAATGAAAAAAGTTAATCATTCTTACAACAAATCCATCGATTTCAGAAGTCTAAATCATGATTCCACGTAATTGAGGGATCAAAGAAGTAAGAGTGTTAGGTTATCAAACATTAACTAGTGCTTTGTCCTTTTACAAAATAATTTGAGTTTTTGTTGTCACTTTGAATTTTTATAATTAAAAATTACATTTTCGAAGCTTTAGGACAAAGAGAATGTCACTAGGATTTTGTATGAATTTTTGGTGAATTTTTAAAATTTTAATGTATTTATTTTGATTTTTAGGAGTGAAATCATATAAAATCTATTTTAAACTGAATTGACCGACAAGTGGCAGCTTCTTATAGGTGCTTTTTCTGTGTTGGTGACGCGTGTCCTCATAGTATCATACCACAACGCCACCTATTATTTTTCTTACTTTTGTTGTTGTTTATCTTAAAAAATTCTTAAAAAATTAAATAAAAATTAGAAAAATACACCCAAAAAAGCTACGCACTGCTTACGACAAATCCTTTGATTTTATAGGTCTAAAATCATGATTCCACACAATTGAGTTTATAGTACTCATTAGATCAAAGAAGCAAGAGTATTACGTTATCAAACATTAACTAGTGTTTTGTCTGTTTACAAACTAATTTGAGTTTTGGTTGTCACTTTGAATTTACATTACCACTAACCTATCGTCACATTTTCAAGAGCATGCCAATGTAATTCCTTTTTTTTTGGTTTTTTTTTTGTTTTTTTATCATTTTATGTGGAGAATCTCTGTTGAACTGGCTCCTATTCTCCATTTATTTTAATTATTCATATTTTAATATACTGTTGGTTTATATATTTGTTTCTTTAAAATGTAGTTGTGTGTTGGTTTTTTTTACATAAAGGTAATTTTAAGTTATTCAAAAATTTATTCACAAAAAATTTAAGAAATGAATATTAAAAAAAATACTTATTTACGTAAAAAATCATAAAATAACTATGTACAAACAAGTTGTGGTTATGACTTCAATTCTCGAATTGAAAAGGGTATTTTATGAGAAAGAAAAGGGTTATATTGAATTTGATTGCAGGACTAGGTAAATGATGTTGAGACAAATATCAGGAACCCAACTACTGATTGCACTCTAAAGAATATTCTTCACTCATGGCTACCAACTTAGAATCTACATACCATCCTTCAATTTGCAGATCCTCTTTTGAAAACATCTGGATCAGGAAGCAATGTGTTTATATCCTCTGTTTCTGGTTTGGTGGGTATAGGTTCTGGGACCAACAAGTAGTAAAGTAAAGGTGAGCTACTGCTCTGTTATGGTTTGTCTCCTTTTGCTCCATAGTCCATAGTCAATATGTTGTATTAAATTTGATGAGTGTGAAAAGGCAAAAGCTAAAGCCTTTTTCATTTTCTCCTCTTCCCCGTTTTCATCTACAATCAATCATTTTGCAAAAAATCTGGCTTGTGAGTGGGCCAAAGACAATATCAAGAGCACTTCTTTCTACACTTACTAGAACCTCACTTGTTGAACGTGTAATACTCTTTCCTTCTTATGGTCTTTTAGGTGTTATATATATGTTTCAACATTATTTCAATTACGATTTTTTGTGTTTGGCTAAATGTACACTAGAGAAGTTTATATCATGGTTATTCG